AAGGTAGCTTATTTTTGAGAATATATAGTAATATCAGAAAGGTTGTAATGACTATAAAGTGTTCTGTTAAGCTGATGATTAGTTACTTGATCTTCAAGAGTTGTAAACTATAAAGGTTTTCTTCCTTGAGGAATTTTGTGAAGTCTTAGTACAATGTGCTCCCAGCTCAGAAGACAGAAGTTGTTATAAGTTAAAAGTTGGTCTAAGTAAAGGATATGATGTTGCTAAAGTTGTTTCTTGAAAGTAGAATAGTTAAGATATGATGAGAGAATAGATTCAAGAGGTATAGAGCTTTTTTGAGGAGTATATAAAATATTATAAATTGGATTGTTGTTAATTGATATATTAAGATGCTTGAAGAGCTTGATAATTTTGAAGTTAGTTGTATATTTTTAAGACCATCAATAATAGGGTTAGGATATATCAAGATGTTTATAGATGACCAAAGATTGTTTTGAAGTTGTTGGGGACAAATTCAGAAGCTAATGCCTAAAAAATCAGGATTGTTAATTTTCTTGATAAAGTTGGTAATTTGGTGTTGAAGTTGAATATTCCAGATATTGCAGATATTATAAAAGTGAGATGAAGAAGAGTGCTTGTGAGAATAGTACGACTTAGCTTAGCTTTGTATTTTACAAGTCCAATGTAATGTGATAGTATTTTGTTACAAGTATGCTGATTAAATACAAGGTTATATAGTCAGTATTCAATAGTAGGTATTATTATAGTGTTGATAATATATTTAGCATGAGTATCAGTAATATGTTTTGTGTCTGCAATTTGAATAAGGTGTAGTAATTCATCAATAACAAGTTGAGTTTGTTTTTTATATTTGTTGTCAAGTGTAAACCAGCATCCAAGAAATTTAAAAGATATGTGAAGTAAATGTAAATGTAAAGGGTGTTAGTTATAGGTAATAGGATTATAAGAAGAAGGTGAATTGTTTGTACAAAGAATAGACTTAGAAGAATTAACTTGGATATTAGTCATTGTATAGAAAGATTAAGCAATAGAAAGAGTTCATCTTGTGAAGAAGCAAACTATAAAGTATCATCTATATAGACCAATACTGAGTATCTGGCTTGAAGTTTATTAAAAGATTTATTTTTTAAATTGGTAATCTAAGATGTTTGTATAGTATAGCCAGGAACTTGAAAGTAAATATAAGATATAAGTGGGTTATAATATATTCTTCAGAGAAGTGGAGTGATAGTTTTATCTTGATCAATACTATTTTGAACAGGGTATGAGGAAGTTAGTCCAAAGTTAGTTATAACCTAGTTGTGGCAGTCTGTAAAGATATTCATTATAATTTTAATAATAGGTGTTGGAAGAGCAAGGTGAGTAAGTGAATGTTGAAGTAAAGAAAGATTGACAGAATCATAAGCTTTGCTCATATCCTGAGACAAAAGCTATAGATCTTTTTGATAGCAAGTAGCATCCTTAATGAAATTATTAAGAATATGTATGGGAATAGCTATAGAATTTCCAGGTAAAATAACATAATTAAAAGGAGATAAGATAGGGTGTTGCTGAAATATAGTATTAAGTTTATTTGTAATAAGTTTAGTATAGATTTTGTGAATGTGTTCAACTAAACTAATAGGATGAGTAAAATTAAGATTGTTATCAAAAGTATTGCGCTTTGGTATAGAGTAAATTTTACTGTTTTTTCATTGCTTTGGAATTTGACAATGAGTAAAGCAAATATTAAAAAGAACTGTAAGGACTTGAAAACATGTAGTACCAGAGTGCTTAATCATTTCATAGCTAATACCTGTAGATCTGTAGGCTTTGCTATTTGGAAGCTTGGAAATACTTGATGTTACTTTTTCAATTATAATTAGAGAGATAAAGGAATTGTACTAGTCAGGATTGATATGAACTTGTGGTTAACAAAAATTATAAAAAAGTGTTTGATTAATTTGTTTATAAGCAGTCTAATTAGAAAAGTAGTTTTATATATATTGTTTAATAAGAAAAGGCTTAATAATCAGTTTATTAAGTAGTTTGATATTATTGAAGTGTATAGGAGTTTGATATCGGTTAAGAATACTATTAATGGCTTGTGTAGGTTTGCTAACTAAAGTTTCATATCTATTTTTAGAAGCTTGTTGTATTTGTTGATTGAAATAATTGGTATCATATATCTTAAGCATGTTTTATCCATTCTAGAATTTAAGAGAAATTTAAACCTGAGAGTGTTTGGAGGTTACATTAGGACCATAAGTTGATTTTATTAATTTATTGATTAATGCTAAAGATATTATAAGTTTTACTTTTGCTTTTAAGATTTTTAATAAAGTAACCAAGTTTTTTTAAGTGATAGATAAAGTTGTGTACTATGAGGGGTATACTATATCTATGATTATAACAACATTTGTAGCTAATCTTATTAGAAATAATTGATATAGCACTATAAATAATAAAATGGTCAATTTTGTATCAAATAGTGTTAATACTGTCACTAGTTTGTAAAGAGAAAGATACATGATGATTGTTAAGCTTAGATATAAAAAGTTCAGAGAACTCAGTTCAATTTTGAGAGGTCATAGTACTGTAATTAAATATATAACAGCTTATGCTAATACAAAAGTAAGGTAGTTTGCTGTATGCATTAGGAAATGTCCAAGATGTATTAAGTATTAAATAATCACTACAAATGCTGATTTTGCTAGTATCAAGTTAGTATAATAAGAGAAATTGGATATTGAATTGGTTAGTCCAAATATAGTCAATTCAACTAGATGATTATGTATAATAAGTATTATCAAAGTGGGTACCAATATTATACATATCAGAATGGTGTAAATAATTGATAAGTTTATATTTAGCTGAAGAGCTGTGAATGTTATCATGTATATTAAAGTCACCAAGAACAATAGGATAGAGGTTTTGTTGTAAAGCAAGTTGTCATGTACAAATCTCACTTTACTGGTTCTGAGTCTGATTTTACTAAGAAATTGTTCACTTTGCTTGAGTTTTGCTTAACTGGTATATCGTACCAGATCTTCCATCTTATTAGATATATATATGAATATTTTGGTTACTTGTTTACTTAGAATGGTTTTTCTTTACACTAACTGTAAATCCTCTTTTTTGCTTTATTAGATCAAGCTATTTTATAATACAAAATTATCATCGGATAAATAATTATCTGGTTACACACATTATTCTATTACTAAATTAATTTCATGCATTTACTAATTCGACGATCATGCTATTTATACAACAGATTATGTTATATAAACCTGATCCTATTCTCAGTACTACAAATTCCATAAATACCAATTAACACACATTTTGAGCTAGACCTCAAGAACTTTGTCCCCAAAGTTACATCTTATGCAAAACTAATTTACTTACTTAAATTATTCTATTTGCAAAATAACTACACATATATTAAGCTAATATTACTCATATTTCAACACTCACACTAATATGTATTACTAATACTAAATCTTTATATGACCCAACATGCATTGCCACTAATTTCTACAAAACAATATAATGCCCATTATTATTGCACTAGAGCTTGCTATGACGGCTTGTATTGCATAACCCTACAAAGTTTTTTTTTCTGCAATTATTCAATGTGGCAGATCATAATGAAATTAGATTATAATGAAATTTAACTTATTTTATATATGATTTTTAAAAATTTTTGGAACCTTTTTAGTTAGATTTTTTTTTATAGTTAAGTTAGAGTTTAGAGTTAGAATTATTAGGAAAAGAGTATAGGTGGATTTTGGTAGAGCTTATATCTTTAAATTGAGATCTCTAAATTTCACAATAATCCAATTTCATTATGATCTGCAACATTCAACATCATCATCTTTTTTAGTGTCTATATTGAAACCTTAGTTTTATATTGATAATAATTTCCAACATTGTTTGTTCTATTAGCATTCTCCAATGGGATATCATCATCAAATATCAAATCTGCTTCGACTTTATTATTAGATTTCTCTTCATTTTTTCATTCAACAAAAGTAAATTCTTTATTTTCTATCATTTATTTGATATGTTTGATTATTATTAATCAGGTTAGTTTCATTGGTGTTTATTTTACTAACTATACTTCTTTTACTAACCAACACTCTTTTGTCATTGTCATTTTCTTTTACACCATCATCATTTCTGCATACTTAGATTCAATTATCATTAGCTACATTATTACTATCACACTTAGTTTTCATCAATGATTCCAGTAGAGCTTTCATCATTAAATCTATTTTCAGAACTATATCTAATAGTACTTGTATCATTACCATTGCTCTATCTTGGTTACAAAGTCCAGGAACAGGTATCTCATTAGTATCATCCATATCAACAGGTTTTTGATAATTTATGAATATTTTATCATCATTCTTTTTATTATTAACACCAACACACATTTCGTTGAAATTACTCACCTCATCAGGTTTTTGATTATAATTGAACATCTTTCATTTATCTCTTTTAACCCTTATTCTATTTTGATAACAAGTACCAAGATTATATGATCCATAAGTATTACTATTTTTAACAGATTTTAAATCTCATTTAAACATTTTATTTTCATAAGTAACTTTTACAGCTTCGGTCCTGTTTCAAGAACAATATCTAAAATTATATATTCCACTAATATGATCTATCTTATTGGATCTTTTATAATAATTAAATACATTACATTCATCACTTTTTATATCAATTTCATTATAATAACAACATCCAACAATACTTGCTTCATTAGCATCATCTATATCAGCGGTTTTTGATAATTAATAGATGCTTTATGTTTATTGCTTTTAACTACAATTTCGTTTCCATAGCAATATCCAAAATTATACATTCTACTACTATTGCTCTACACTATTGTTTACATCTTTGTTTACAGGTTTCATTAACATTGGCTCTTTTTTGTTACCATATCCACTACGATTTCTTGTGAATGCATTTTCATCAATTTCAGATAATACATCAGATAGATCTTTGATTTTCAGTTCATTTTTTTGATCTCATCCATCAAAATTTATGTGTCTAATATCCATATCACTTTCAACAGCTTCTAGATTTATCATTTGGTCATCAGGTATGTGTTTTTCAGTCACTTTTCTGTCAATATTCATCTTATTCATTATGCTAATAACTCTAATCTTTTTTCACATAATTAATGCTATTCCCACCATTCTTTCTATATCTTGCATTTCGTTCAAAATCACTATGGTTCTTTTTACTAATATCTATATAATGTATTTCCATCAATTCATTATTCAAACGTCGACCTTGATTTTTCTGAGATAGACATGAACGAGCTAAGTGCTCTTTACAATAGCAAACATAGCACAAATGCAACCTATGCCTTTTCTGTTTTCCTTAAACTGTCTTCAAGTACTTCATTACTTCCTAAACTACTAGTTTCACTAACATAGCTGAGTAGTTTTGTCCTTTCATTCTTTTTTTGTTTAACCACTTAGGTAGACTTTTTCTTCGTTCTAACTTAGACAACGTAATTTCGTCACTAAGGCTTTGATTACAGAAATTCAACAACTCTATTCATCTAACCAACTTTGGTCTCAGTCTCTATTGACTTTGGTCTTATGGCTTTATCGACTTCAGTTTCACAGCTTTATTAATCTTTGATCTTAAAGTTTTACCAATCTTTGACTTCAACCTTTTACTACCTTCGATTTCACTGATTTATCACCTTCAGCTTCACAGACTACCACCTTCGGTTTTGCGGCTTTACTTTCTTTACTTATTTCAGTGAATAAGACCTTTCTCTTATCCAGGTCCTTGTATCGTGTACAAATCCCACTTTACTAGTTCTGGGTCTGATCTTACTAAAAGACTATTCACTTTGCTTGAGTTTTGCTTGACTGGTATATCATATCAGATCTTTCATTTTGCTAGATAGTATATGAACATTTTGGTCACTTGTATACTTAGAATGGTTTCTTCTTTATGCTAACTAAAAATCACTTTTTTTACTTTATTAGATTAAGCTATTTTATAATACAAGATTATCATTAGATAAATAATTATCTGGTTATATATATTATCATATTACTAAATTAATTTCATGTATTCACTGGTTTGACAATTACACCATTCATACAACAGATTATATTATATGAATCTGATCCTATTCCTGGCATTATAAATTTTAAGGGTATCAATTAACCCATGTCACAAGTTGAATCTAATTAATTACAGTACTTGAGTTGAGTTTTATTTTGACATATCGGTTAATAAAAGATATACAGAGATAATATGAAGTTTAATATTACTTTTAAAAAATAGTTCAATAGCAATAGTACCACTAAGATATATAAGGCAGTTATGAATGTGAGGCTGAAGAAAGTTGCATATTATAATAGCAGAATCTTCTGCAAAGCTATTGGAGTTAGCTCAAAAGTATGTGAAAAGATTATTATTGCAAAATGATAGATTAGACTTATCAAAAATTTTAGTTTTAGTAATGCAGGCAATATCAATATTGTGATTAAAGCAGTAGTATTGCCAGGTTTCTCTTTTGGTGACTGAGTTAAAGCCTCGGACATTATATATTATGATATTAAGATGTAGGTCTCTAATTTGATTAGAATGTTGATCATAAGGGCTGTTAATAAACTCATGCTTTCTAGATAATATAGGTAAGGTGGATGGATTAGAAATATTTTGGTTAGAGTCTTGCAAAAATATAAGTAGATCGAAAGGTAGAGACTCAAGTTTATTAGAACTTGATTCAGAAGCTATTAATGGGGAGTAGGTAGATATAAAAATAGGTATGTTAATTTGTGATTTAAAAGAAATATCATATGAGTCATTGGTAGATAGAGTATAGTGGTTTAGTAATATAATGTGTTCATGTAATAAGTATACTTATGCTTTACTTTTATTACTGTGAACAGTAATAAAAGCATGATCTGCTAAATAGTTAACATTGTTTTGTTGTAAATGTTATAAAAAAGAATTAATAGTTTGTAGTTTTCTTAATAAAAGAAGTTAAAAATAGGTAAGAAATTTGTTATAATATATTTCTAAATTATAGGAGTTGGATAACATTGGTAATGATTTGGATAAATATCCTTTTATAGATGCGCTTGCCGTTTTAAGCTCGGTTTTCACAGCTGCAAAAGGTTTCATAATCTGCTATATATATTTAGTCTGATCGTCATTTGCCTGATCCTCCGTATAAATGGACTTAACCACCTGTTCACTTACATTATTCTCTTCTGAGAAAGGCCTACTAGAAGTAGAGGACATCATTATTTCAGAAGCGATGGTTGCTTCAATGAAATCTATAGAAGAAATTATTGAAAAGGATTATATGAAAGAGTAGTAATAAGTTGAGGGTTTTGTTGTAAGTTTTTGTTGAAGTTGGAGTTTTTATTATTAGTAGTTTGGTTATTTGTATTAACAGTAGAATCATCATTTGAATCTGTTATAATGTTATATTAGTAGTTGTAATATTGTACAAATTAGTCATAGAATATTATTTCATATTATATATTATATTTTATATTTTATCTCTTATATTTTATATTAGTTAAATTATATTATTTAGATATATTTTATTAGAATAGAATAGTTAGAAGTGTATACTACTGTATGCCGTATGCCAGTGTGTACCGTATGCCACAGTATGCTATATACTATATGCTACTGTATGCTGTATACCAATGTATACTATATGCCAGTGTATGCCACCTGCCATATGGTTGTACTGTATGCCAGTGTATGCCATCTGCCATATGGTGTATGCCAGTGTATATCACCTGCTACATAGTTGTATACCAGTGTATGCCACCTACTATATGGTGTATACCAGTGTATGCCACTTGGATGTATACTAGTGTATGCCACTTCTACAGATATATAAAGGAAGGTTTTCCCCCTTAGTTCTTGCAAATATCTCCTCCTACAATTCCTACCTTCCCTTGGATATTGGATTGGCCATCTAATATTTGTGCTTCTTCTTTTAATATAAATTGTATTACCTGTATTACCTGTACTATCTGTATTATCTGTATAACTTATTTGTACTATCTTATTACTAAATAAACTATTTTATATCTGTAAATATTGTCCTATAATTAAAATATCACTATAACATCTTGGTGCCTTCTGGTAGAAACCTAAAAATTATTGACAGATATTTTAGTATTAAGAAAAACCCTTCTTGTTAAAATCTTTAGTTTATAAACAGTAAATTAGTATATTTTCTGGACATAAAATTCCTAGTTATGTGTATTTTCTGAATGTAACATTCCCAGCCGTGTATATTTTTTGGATGTAACATTTCTAGCTATATGTATTTTCTGGACGTAACATTCTCAGCTATGATGTGGGAAGCTTTAAATCTCTATAAAAAATTGCTATACAAAAAATACTACTCTTCTTTTAAAAATTTATAAAATGTAAAACTAATCTACAAGATTTGTTCTTCTTGTTCTAAAGAATAAAACTTGTAGTTTAGATTTTAATTTAATGCTAAATTGACAGAGCAGTAGCCTTTTAAACATTGCCAATTTTATTAATTTTATTAATAAATTGTAAAAAAGTGAACACATATATTTTTAATTTTGGCCAATTAGAATGCCCCATTTCGATCACGTGATTGAAATTTCACAATGAACTTTATAATAGAGATTAGAAATGGTTTTATTTCTTATATTAAAACTGGTTTTAATAAGTTTTAATATATGAAAATAAAACTGGCTCAAAACTCTACTTCAAAAATAAGAAAAAACCTGCTACAGTTTTTTTTTTGTGATACTCAATATAGTGGCCAGCTAATTGAAACCTGCTACAGTTTTTTCTTTGTGATACTCAATATAGTGGCCAGCTAATTGAATGCATTTCGATTTCATTTTATTTAAATGCAACACTTTTAAACATTAAGCACCATATTATACTAATTAGTAGAATTAAAACTTTTACAACAAAAGTATAATTTATGCCCTTATGGTTAGATAAAATCAGGCTTGTATTGAATTAGACGATTTATAAGCACTTATAAATTATTTAGAATTTAAAAAACCACCATATTCACAATACAACTAAAATGTAAATTCTAATTGTTAAATATTTAAATTTGATATTCTTTAAAATTGAGCAATACACATGAGTTTATTATTAATTAATAGTTTATTCAGCTTATAATAAATAATAAATAAATTAAATATTTACTATTCAATGTGTTCTATATATCTTACCTAATTGTTAAATCAAATATCTTAGGAATTGTTATCAACTCGATTTCCTAAAAAAGCTGTGATTAATTAAAAATTACAATATTAATACAAAAAATAAGTATTAATTTTCAAATTCATAACTTTTTAATAATGTCTCACCCAAATACCAAATCTAGTATTACTTCTAAGAAGGCCTGTAATAAGGATGGTACCTTTGTAGCTAAAGTTATGAATGAAATAAAGAAAAGCATAGATACTCTGGAAGACTGGGAGTTATTTGAAATAACACATGACAACTTTCAAGATTACACATTAAAAGCTATAGAATGGTATGAAAATGCTGATAAAACATTAAAATCTACTTTTTATACTAGTACATAATTAATGCTTATAAGCAATTTTAAATGCCAGTATATATAAGAAACTATTTCGGCATACTTCGGTATTGATTTTGATATGAAACTACTAAGGTGTCTAGTGGTTTCATATCAAAAATCAATACTGAAATATATCGAAATAGTTTCTACAACAGTATATTTAAATCTCTTTGCTAATAAATTTTTATATAATTTTAGGAAATTCGAGAACAAACCTTTAG